AGTGGATCAATTGGTGGTTACACAGTAGATAACTATGTTGAGAGAAATTCTTGGGCTTATCAGGATCCACAGAAAGGACCTGTTTGATTTCTGATGTCTGTCCTACATGTGGGTGGAGAGAGCAGCTTTGTACATATTTGATATCCTTGATGTCTAGGCTCCAAGGTCCTGAAGACTACTCCCAGCAAAATGATAGCTTAAAAGCTGTATCTGGTACATCATACAATGCTAAGAACCAGCATTCTGTGGGAATATTTCAGGACAATTAAAATATGGCAATTATGCAAGTAGCACCTCTACTTCTGGTATGCCTCTCTTTGATAAGTGAAAGAAAAATGTCTGTGGGTAACTTTCTAAAGGACTAATACAGCTGCATCAACTTTTAGAAATAGTGGTATGTGTTGTGCATGTCTTGCTTAATGGAACTTTTAATATGGCATGATGCTGTGTTTTCAAAGCACCAAAGTACAAGAAAATGTGTATGTCATCTTACTTTTGACAAATTCAGCCAGCAAAGAGAGCAGTAATAATCACTACCTCAAAACTTTCCCATTACCTAATTAATGATCAAGAGGGCCTTTTATAGATATTGTGGACTTTGTATTTTTAAGTGTGGGGTGTGATTTCTGTCCCAGAGTGAGGCAATCTCAAAGTGTACTACCTGGGCTACTGAAATAATTTCGAGATCTCAGGTACCTCTTGGGCTTTTGTGTAAATGATGCTGAAACTTGATACTATATATGAAATACTCTATACCCAATCAGAGTTAACATCTCTCTCTCCCTCTATGTATCTGTCTATCTCTCTTTGTTTCTCACTCTTTTCCCCCTCTGTATCCATCTACACACATACACACGGTTTGACTAGAAATATACGGAAGTGGTGGAATGCTTTTATACAGATAGATAGAGACAGAGATATATATGTCACATTATACATGTCACTTCAAAAGATTATTGAAAAACAAATATGTTACTTGAACATATTTCTGCCAATCCTATGTAAGTATAAGAGTGTGTGGAAATCTTGGTTGTTTTTTGTTTTGCTTTATTTTTAGATTGAGTTATGTGAAATTTTATCTCTTTACATTGTTTACCAAAAGGGATCAAAAGGAATATTAAAAAAAAAAACCCTTATTCTAGTGACTAGAATGGGCAAGTAAAAGAAAATCTCACCATAAATCATAATTAAAATGATAGCTTTTAAATATTGGCACAACTACAGTGATTTTTTTTTTTTTTTCCTTTTAAGTAAATGTTTACAGTCTGGAAGACAATCAGATGTCTCCTACATTGTTATTATTATGATAATTCTATTTGTGATTCCTAAATTCTTGACAGCACTGTGTCAAAATAAGCCAGTATATAATCTCAATAACTTTATTTTTAAGGCTTAAATGTTTCCTTAAGAAGTAAAATTGTCTTTGTGATACTATCTTAGAATTCCTATGCTATAACAATAATGATCCAAGGATAATTTTTGTTTTTAACAGGTTTTAGACTTTATGGGATTGAAGGTGAATGATGAAAAGTGAGATAACATTTTGGGGAAAAAAATCTGCTCTGTAAACAGACATTAGAAGATATATTTAAATTGGTTTTTGGAGTCCAACAAATTCTCAGTGCTTGAATATCTTTGTATAACATTTACCCACTAATCAAAAACCCAGTTGTTGGAAGCTTGTCCTTTTAGTTTTATGGCTTCATTTACTAGGATGACACAATTCAATTTACAGTTGTATGACTTAAAATTAATAAGTGAAAATGTACAACAAAACCATTAAAACATCTTTTAGAAATTTGTATCCCTTTGCAAAGAGAAAAAAAGATTCTGCAATTACTATTTTAGTATCAAGTCTTTAAGATAAAATTAGAGTTGAAACTATTAAGCTAAGCTAAACTGTTATATTAGAGTTGAAACTATTAAAAGCAGGTAATTTAAAACAGTGGCTCAGAAGTCAGGACCTACTCAGGTAGGGATTTCATTTCCCACTCAGTGCTCCTTAGGGCTCCCTGAGCATAGTGGCTCCATCCTCTTTGCTCTCTTCTTATAGTGTTTATATCTCCTATGGAAGTGCACGTACCCTATCTGTTTACAGAACTGTCTTCCCGACTCACATCTTAGCACCTCAGTGCCACACCTTGCTAGGTATACAGAAGCCCTTTCATAATTATGTGTCTAATGAACAAATGGTTAATGAACAGTAACTACTCTGTGCTAACCTTGGAGCTTCCATTTAGGTTTCAAAAATGATAAAGAAGATTGCTTCCACACTTTGTCAATCTTTAAATAACTCCCTCCGTTTTGAAGCTCCTATAAATACATTCAAAATTAATTTTAGAAACATCATTCATCTCATAATTTACTTCAACTCAAATCACCCAATACACTGGTTAAAGGTAAAAGAATAGAACCCAGTGATATTCTTTTTCCTTTTTAAGTTACACTTCATGTGAAAGAGTTCTGTATTTCCCTTTCTTTCTTTTTTTGTATAGTACTAATACCAATAAAATATTCAGGTCTGAACAAATCTACAAATATTTATTCTAAATTTATTTCTGAAATGTGACTAAATCTGACCATCGTATAAAACAGAAAAGAACAAGATCTGACATACTGAAAGGATTCAAAGAAATATTAATCTAGACTTGAGACCAAATAAAATGAACTAGTGATTAAACCAGTTGACACATCATGGACATGCTTTCTGTGTACCATTTATTTCCATTCCAATGATACAAAGTTATCCTTTGTAAAATCACTGTAATATTCAAGAATCAGCAAGTATAGAGTTGCAGTTTTGCAAGATGAAAGAATTCTTGAGATTGGTTGCACAAAATGAATATACTTAACAATACTGTAATGGCTAAGATGGTACATTTTATGTTATGGATATTTTACCACAATGAAAAATAAAAAAAAAAAAAAAGAATCAGCAAGATAACAGTGAGAGGATACCTTGAGTTCATAAGTTCAAATATGAAGCAAAGTTTTCATAAATTCAGGATGTTATTTTTAAGGGGCAAAAAAGAACACTCAATTCAGTATTTTTGCTACCAGTGATTAAAAACAAAAACAAACAATAAAAAACAATGTGAAGAAACTGTCAAATTTCCTGACAGCTACGGTGTTTGTCGATGACCGACTAATATCATTTGGCCTGTGCATGGCCCATTTTGATTTATTTACTAACTTACATTACTTAGTTGTTTTTAATTATGTAGTAAACACTTGAAAATGCACCATCCAGAACAAAAGCTAAAATCTGTTAAATAACCTGTTTATTACCTCCAGTATAATCTTTTTATCAGTCTTGGGTAACCATCTTTCTGAGTCCTGTATTCATCACTCTGTTGCTTTTCTTTTTACATATTTATTGTATCTACATATATACCTAAAAAGTGTCTTTTATCTTAGTTGTTTTAAACATTATTCTACAGAGATCATGCTGTTTGTCTTCTTGGGGAATATACGTTTCACCTAATAATGAATTGCTAAGGTACATTCATATTGCTCTTCATTGCTGTAGTCCATTCATGTTTTATTGCTGGCTACTATTCAAAGTTATGTGAAAGTATAAATGCAGTGATTTAAACCATTCTTTGTAAATAGCATCTTTAGGTCTTCATTGTGAACCACATCCAGGTTAGCTGGTCACCTGAGCCTGCTGTTGGCGCTCAACGACCCTATCTATGTACAGCCTTTGATTGTAATTTGTAGTTGTTAAAATGTGCTCTAAATGAACAACCTTACTTCATTTAAAAATCTCAGTAATTTAATTGTATTTGTCTGTTCAGAGACTGTAAGTGCTAGTCTATGTTCTTCTTTATTCAGAGACATAAAATTTCACTATGAGGATAATATCATATAAACATTAGTGACTTCTAAATCATTTGTTCATTCCAGGTTTAACAAGTCTCTTTCAGTGTATTCCCTCAGGATATTTTCCTTTTTCCCCACCTATTAAAATATTTTCTGCTAACATTGGTGAGAAACATAATAAAGGTTTGTCAGGAACTCTTGGAACATATAAGCTACTAAGAGCTTGACTTTCTTGTTTCTTCTTGTCTATAGCTTAACAAAGAGCATTTCTTTCTGTAAACTAATGGCGTAACACAACTCTTTGGGGCCTTATTCTGAAAAACTTCCTGGAAGAATTTCTAAAATTTGTTAAAAAACAAAAAAACTATTTGTGATAAGTTCAAGACTGATAAAGCATGATTAAAAGTGACCAATCAAGGAGCCTTCTGCCTTTGTCCTTAATGCATTTGCCCAAATGATATTTATTATGTAGTGGTTGAGACCCCCCCCAGTTCAAGGGGCAGACTTTGGGTCATATTTTGGCTCTGTTGCGAACCAGCTTCATGGCCCTTGATTTGTTTAATGACTGTATGAAGAAATTTTCTGAGCTGAAAATGGGGAGAGTAAGTACAGCTATCTCATAGGTTCATTGTGAGATTGAAATAAGATAATGCTTATTGTCTTACTTAATGTTTAACTAAATGACAGGTGCATCTCAGCTCTATTTGTGTTAAATATTGTCAACAAGTCCACACTGTTCTTTGACTTGGAGTGATAACTTATGCTTGTGACAAAGAGCTGTTTCTCACACCTCATTTCACGTGTTTATAATGCACTACCAGTCCGAGAAAACACAGAAAAACAGGGTAAAAAAATCTCTTACCTAAGCAAATGCTAACCTGAAATTCCACTGATGTCACAATAGGAAGTTATGGCCTACTCAACATGATTTATCTATTATTAAATACATTTAAAAAGAAATTAGAAGATTAACACGTGGATGATTCTGCCCAGTGTTTTCTTATAATCTTTTTAGGGTGGCTTTGGAAAATATTTAAATCTCAAAATTCCTACATCCTATCTAACAGCATGCTTTTGTCTTGATAGCCACTCTTTAATTTCACACACTCACTTTCCTAATTAGAATTGTGTAGTGTTTTAGATATTCAGATTCTAACACACCTTGAAATGTTTTACAGATTTATTGGCCTGCTGCAAAGGAACGGGTGGAATTGTGTAAATTAGCTGGGAAAGATGCCAATGTAAGTATGAGACTTTAAAGAACATCTTTGTTAAACTGGTGCTGATATGATAGCAAATATTTATATTGGGTTTTATTGAATTAATGGCATTAGTATATTATTTTTAAGACTACACTAATATTCTGTGTAAAGATTAATATGGTATAAAATGTTTCTACCTTGCCAAAAGGAATGATATTGTTCTCAGAAATTTAGAAATACTACCCTTTCTAAAGTGTTAATTCTGACTGTATTTTCTTCACAAAAAAATCTCAGAAATACATTTAAAATATTTAAAAATAAACCATCAGAAAATACTGTATTTCTAGGGTTGTGTGTTTTTCATCTAATGCATATATTTTGTGAATGTACACAAAATCATCAGTGGTTTTAGCATTACAAACACACACTTGACATCTTATTTAATTTGGGGTGAAATTAAACTTACAACATCTACAAGAATTCTTGCAAAAGTAGACATTATAGAGCTATTAAGAAAGACTGGTTGAAAACGAATAATCCAACATTCTGGAATAAGAGCTAGAAATAATTTACTCCGAAATTTATGTAAGAGTAAATATAGGGAATAACTTGTAAAGGATAAATAGTGGGGTCCTAGTATAAACTTCTAGTTTAAGCTCCCTTAAGGACCAGAGAAACCCCTTTGACAGGTATAACTGCCCTCATCATCTTTGGGGTGTCTTGTCTGGATTGCTTTTGCACTATCCAAGCTGTCTTACATGCTTCCCCAAATTGTGTTGCCTTTTTTAATCTCCAGCAATGCTGTGGCTCTAACTGCCTCTACTCATCTGAATGTTCTGATTCAGGCCAGATGCTCTGTGTTCTGCCCTGACTTCTTGCCCTGTAATGATAGGGAGAATTGCTCTTCTTTGGCAAAAGAAATCACTTCCTGAATGTAACTCAAGATGAAAAAGTTCTAACTTTGGGCAAAAGCATGGGCATCATGAGGCTTCCTTTGCAGTATGCTGGAATGTTTCCTCTAACCACTATAACCCAGGAGCATTAAACTGAGCAGTGCCCTCATATTTAATAACAGCAAATAGTATGTGTTGTATGAAAGCATAATTATATTTAACAATTCTCACTTTATTATTGTGATAAAGGTAAAGCAACACGATGTATGTTGCCTAATGAATTTAAGGGGAAGCTTAGAAGACTTTATTCACTCATTTGTTCATTCATTTATCCAACAAATATTTATTAAGAGCCTAAATATGTGCATTAATAGTGTATGAAAGCTCTCATGGATCTTTTAATCTAATGAGGGATATAGATATTACACAAATGATTACTTATATGTAGCCACTGTACAGTTGGCCACAGGTTCTACATCTATAAATTCAACCAACCGTGCATCAAAAATATTCTAAAAATTCCAGAAAGTTCAAAAAGCAAACTTGAATTTATTGCTTACTGGCAACTATTTACATAGTGTTTACATTGTATTTACAATTGTTTACATAGCATTTACATTGTATTAAGTATTATAAGTAATCTAGAGATAAAGTATATGGGAGGCTATGTGTTTGCCATTTTATATAAGGGACTTGAGCATCCTCAGATTTTGATAAATGTCAAGGTCCTGGAACCAATCCACCGAGGATACTGAAGGATGACTGTCCTGCAAAACAAAATAATCAAAACAAAGTAAAAGAAAGAAACTTTTGGTTATGCCTCATTCTGTATTCAGTTAGTGTTAAATGTGACTTTTGGGGCACATTTATGTTAGCAGAAATATATCAGAGAGTGTGTGCTTCAAATGCAACAGGAAAAAGTTTTCACATTTATTTTGCTAGAAATGAAAGAGTG